AAGAAAATGAAAGCCCAACAGGTCCATCAACTCAGCAGATTTTTACATCTAATGTACCGCTCCCACAGCCAATAAGTCTAACAGGCAATTTAGCGAAAAATTGGAAGAACTGGCGTCAGACTTGGCAAGCATATGAAGTAATCACAAACCTCGCCGAACGCGACCAAAAATATCGAGTTGCTACGTTTATCACGTGTATTGGTCCTGAAGTTATGGAAATTCATAATGGTTTACCTTTCCGAAATGACGAGGAAAGACAAGACATTACGAAGATAATAGAACTATGGAACAATTACTGCATAGGTAAAACAAATCCTATTTATGAGCGGTACAAATTTCACAACAGATTTCAACAACAAGGAGAGACAATAGACACGTATGCGACAGTCATTCGTACTTTAGCTGACACATGCGAATTTGGAGCCCTTAAGGAGGAGTTAGTTAGAGACAGAATAGTATGTGGAATATGTGACAATACTTTGCAGAAGAAATTGCTACAAAAAACCAGTTTAACCTTTGAAAAATGTTTAAACATATGCAGAGCAGTCGAAGCAGCAAACAATCAACAGAAGCAAATATCGCACAACACTTCAGAGTCTACACATGCACTCAAACCAAAAGGGAAGCCCCAATGCAATAGCCAAAGAAAACCGAAGTTACCATGTCCTGATTGTAAATATTGTGGCAGGCGACATGAGCGTAAGAAAGAAAAATGTCCAGCCTACAATAAAACATACAATAACTGCTCAATGAAACATCACTTTAGTTCTGTTTGTCAGCAACCAAAAAGACAAGAAAGAGGGCCAAAGACAATACAAACTGGCAGATCTAAAACACACCAAGTTCATGAGGAAACTGATCAGTCCACTGATGATGAGATTTGGTCAATTACAGAACGAGTAAGTACAGTCCCGGGGAGGAATTGTGTATGTGCAGGTATACAATTGGGCGACCAGATAATACAGATGCAAATTGACACTGGTGCAACATGCAATGTATTACCGCATTCCTATTTGCCTAAAGATGTCAAGGTCCAGCCAACCAATAGAAATTTATTTACCTATTCTGAGTCAAAGCTTGAAGTACTAGGCAAGGCAGTGTTGAACATTAGTAACCCAAAGAACAATTGTAAGTACTTTGAAGAATTTTTGATTGTTAAAGATGGGTCCATTCCCCTGTTAGGAGTTAAAACAGCTCAAAAGATGGAACTGTTCGTCATTCGACACCAAAATATCTTACATATAGATTGTAGTAATGCAGTAACATCACAGAATGGTCTCGGGTTTGCTCTCATGCAGAATGGACAACCTGTGACATATGCAAGTCGGGCTCTGACTTCGGCAGAGAAGCGATATTCACAGATCGAGAAAGAGCTGTTAGCACAAGTGTTTGGTATGGAACATAATCATCAGTATGTGTATGGTCGTAAGGTTATTTTATGGACCGATCACAAGCCGCTTGTCTCCATATCGCAGAAACCACTAGTCACAGCGCCAAAGAGACTCCAGCGGTTACTTTTGCGGTTACAACAGTATGACTATGAAATTCGCTACAAGCCTGGCAGAGATATGGTCGTTGCTGATACGTTATCTCGAGCATATCTAGAAGACCACATACCTACTAAAACTGAAGTAGAGACAGAGCATGTCCATGCAGCACAGTTTCTTTCAATTCCTGACCACCAGATGAAAGAGTTACAGCAGAAAACTGCAGCAGATCCAACATTGCAATTACTCAAGAAGGTAATTTTAGATGGATTTCCAAATTCCAAAGACAGTCTACCAGCAAGCATCCATCCATATTTTGGTATTCGAGATGAATTGTCTGTAGTCGATGGCATCATCTTCAAAGGGCTACGTTGTATTATTCCTGTGGTTCTCAGACACAAGATTATGTTGAAATTGCATGAGTCACACATTGGGATGCAAGGATGTCTTCGGAGAGCTAGAGAAGTAGTCTATTGGCCAGGTATGAATGCTGAACTCACTGATTACATTAGTAAGTGTGAAATCTGTCTATCATCAAGTACAAGTCAAGCTAGGGAGCCCCTTATTTATCATGAGATTCCAGACAGACCCTGGAAGAAGATTGCCACTGACATTTTTACGATAGACGGTAAAGACTTTTTGTGCACAGTCGATTACTATAGCGGTTATTTTGAAGTAGACCCATTAAGTAACAAAACAAGTAAAAGTGTAATTTCCAAGATGAAGAGACACTTTTCTACTCATGGAATTCCTAATGAACTTTGTAGTGACAATGGTCCCCCATTTAACTCAGTTGCTAACTTTATGAGATTTGCAGGAACTAAGCACATCACCAGTTCACCATTGCATGCTCAGAGCAATGGAAGAGCCAAAAATGCAGTCAAGACAGCCAAGAACCTCATGAAGAAAAGCAAAGAGGCATGTATGGAGTATTTTATCTCGTTGCTTAGCTGGAGAAACACTCCTACGGAAGGCATGGATACGTCCCCAGCTCAAAAAATGTTTGGACGGAAAACTCGGACACAGTTACCGACTGCTGAACCATTGCTAAAGCCACAACCAGCGCCAGTTGAAGTAAGAAAACAAATTCTGACAAGGAAGGAGAAACAAGCATCCTATTACAACAGACAGACAAAGGAGCTTCCAACGCTGAAAGAAGGTCAAGTGGTGCGAATTACCCCTCAACCAAATGATCGAGAGAAGAAATGGATAAAAGGTCAGGTAACAAGAGAAGCGGGTATCAGATCTTATGAAGTGATAACTGAGGATGGCAGGCAGTTCAGGAGAAATCGTAAACATTTGCGTGCTTCTAAAGAACAGTTTTATCCGCCAGACAAACAACCTCCACCTGTGTCACCATCATCAACACCACCTCCATTAACGCCGCCAAAGTTGCAGGTCCAACATGTTCCGCAGCAGCCCGTTGTTAGCCCTGGGAAAGCCATCAGTGGAGTGACAAGGAGTGGCCGAGTATTCAAACCGCCAAGTTGCCTAGACTAGGATTGGATTAGTCCGTTATAAGGCTGAGAAAAACAATATAGATTATTTGGAACCCTATTACATAGGCACACATATTATAGAACTATTTTTAAAGAAAATCTTCAAAAAAAAAAAAAGAACTTTTAGGTATATTTCTAAAGTAAAAGAAAAAAAAGGAAGGATGTAACGTTATCTACATAGGTGCCCTGTGTAACTCGTGCCCCATGCATGATGGGTAATGTAGTTGGGTATAAATATTAGCTTGTTGTAAATAATCTCTCTCACTTCTTCTGTATTAAATTGTACTCAATACACGAGTTTGGATGCAATAATATGACAGGCACGATCAATTTCACTTCGCTTGATTGTCACTCCCAACTCGCGATCACAAAATTTTACAACTTCATCGTAGCAGTCCTCTGTTTCTTTCTCAATAATACCATAGAAACGTAGATTGTTTCGGTGAGAGTACTGCTCATTTTCGTTCTCTTTAGCATTGACTTCATCCAACTTTCGATGCAGCTCTGTCACTTCTCGTTTTAAGCAAGTATTCGTGTCCTCGAGAGCTTTCATTCTAACATCGATTAGTTCAACGAATTCGTTCTTAAAACACTTGATAGCCGCTTAGACTGCGACATTAATTGCTGTAGAAAGAACTGCTTTAAAGTCATCTGATTTCATAAAAGCTTCTATCTTTTGATTGAGATTGACATGACACCCATCGCCTTCGACTTTCGAGCTTGAACGAGTCTTGAAATGATATCAAAACGTAATAAATTATCAGCAATCAATTTCAAAGGACTTCACATAAATTCAAAATAGCTCCACAACCTTTCACTCAAAGGTTACATATAAATTTTAAAGATATCAGTATTTGTAATAAGCTTATAAACAGAGCTCAAAATCGCGATGCTCGCTCTTTGCCTACTGGCATAATAGACCATGGTGGGATTTGACACATTTGGCACATGGTGGGATTTGACGATGGGATTTGAAGTAGTGCCATGTAATATTTTTTCATTTATGTGTCCCTTGACATTTCATCAATTATGTCGCCATTGCCATGTCTCGTCGCCTTTCTGCACGATAAATGCCAGTTCTTGATCCCCAGCTGTATTTTTTTCACAGCATTGATAAATAATTGATAGTACAATAGCAGCTAACAAAATTTAAAAGGATTTGTCCCATTTGGAAGCAAAAAATCATCCCTCGTTTATCGAGAATAAAATTCAAGTGCGAAAAATTCAAAATAATTTGAAAGTCTTGTGCAAACTCCGCGATGAGCCCTCGTGGACAACATTCCGGGGGGACGAAAATTGAAGCATACATTTGTTCACAACAACAATCAGTAAAATTTGTCCGTTTTTGCTGTTAATATTTCTCATAACAGAATTAAAAAGTCTCTGCGTTTAAATTGCATGTTTTTGCTTTCACAAAGCTAAAAAAATAAACCAGAAATGCATTCTGAAAATGTATTCCTGAAAATGTATTCGTGAAAATGTACCCCCCTGCAATGTTGCCCACAAGCATTTGTTGTGGAGTGTGCGCTTTCAAATTACTCTTTCGCACTTGAATTTCATCCTCTGTAAACGAGGGGTGGTTTTTCACTTCTAAATGGGACAAATGCTTTTAAATTTTGGATAGCTGCTATTGTACTATCAATTATTTATCGATGCTGTGAAAAAAATACAGCTGGGGATCAAGAACTGGCATTTATCGTGCTGAAAGGCGACGAGACATGGCAATGGCGACATAATTGATAAAATGTCAAGGGACACTGTAGAGTTTGTCTTTTGCACAAGATAAATATACTTTATTCACGTAACTCGTAATACTTATTTCTACTACAACCAAGCGTGTGTTCTTCTACGTTTTTTGTACGTCCTCTGAGCCCGCGCTCTTGTCCTATATCTAACATCATATACGTTGTGCTATAACATGCAACAACACTACATCTCTCCCTTTTATCGAACTGTAACCATAACACAACAAAACAAATTATTATTAATGTTAAAGTTGTTTCAGATGTTAGCTTTAATACATCACATAGTCACCAAGATAGTTCGGACGCCGCCTTTCTCTTGCTGGTCGTTGGTTTTGACCTCGCTGTTCCTGACCTGCGTTTTGAAGTTCTACATTGTTCTCGTTGCTCCCATCGTCATCATCATCATCATCCTCTCCACTGTCGTTAGGAATGTTTGCCCACTGCTCTGCTGCCCGTTTTGTAACTTTCTTAAGATGAGAGGAATTTCTGCTTAGTGTTGATCCATCTGTTTTCTGTACGGTCACTAATGTTCCTTTCTTCCTGGTGACAAGTGCAGGTTTAGGATTATAGCGTGAGGACAACTTATTCTTTCGCTTCTGTTTTATCAATACCATATCACCTACACAAACGCGGCTAGGTTTGTGGTGATTCCGACGGTCGGAATAGGTTTTCATCTTCTTCTTCCCTTGTCGGTCTTTGGAACGCATTTCTGCATCATCGAGAGGTGGCACGAGCACTGCAGGCAGTTTAGTTTTGATTTTCCTACCAAACAAAAGCTCCGCCGGCGACTTCCCGGTAGTCGAGTGCGGCGTAGCTCGGTACTGCAGGAGAAACTGTTGTAGATCTTTCTTCCAATTCTTTCCTTCGATTGAGCTTGTTTTGATGGCTTTGCTTAGTGTACGCATAAAACGTTCAGCTTCGCCGTTAGCAGCTGGCCATAGTGGTGTAATTCTACGGTGTTGAAAACCTTTCTCTTTAGCATACTTGGCGAATTCGTGACCACTAAATGGGGGGCCGTTATCAGACTTCATAACATCCGGAATCCCATGCGTAGCAAAGATTCTATCTAACTTCGGAATAGTCGCTTCAGCGGAGGTAGATCGAAGAACTTCCACCTCCGGATACCGAGAGTAATCGTCAATGACAACTAGCAAGTAGTCACCGGATGGGAAAGGGCCACAAAAATCGGTTGAAACTTGGCTCCACGGCGCCGTTGGTAAGGTCGTCATTTGGAGGGGTTCTGGTGTCACATTTTGGCTTGTTGCTTGACATGGGATGCAATCATCGATCTCTGTCTTGACGTCCTTGTCAATGCCAGGGTACCATACCTTTTCTCGAAGGAGCTGCTTTGTTTTTTTGAGCATTCCAAAATACGACCTTGCTTTAAGATGAAGGTCAAATCCGCTTTTTCTTCACGAAGAATCTTTTCTTTCAGTCTATTAGAGCTACAATTTGCCAGAATTTGATCGGCAATAACATCATCAATATTCTCAAACTCATACGTTTCAGCCAGGTTACGAAGTCGAGAAGCGAATTGATCAATAGACTCACCGTCTTGTTGACATGCTTGTTTAAAATGGTATCGTTCATATCGAATATGTTTCTTCGGAGCAAAATATTCGTTGAGTTTTGCGGCAGCTGTATCGTAGTCGTCTCCCGTATCCGTCAATCCTTTAAACACTTTCTGAACAGTTGGCCCGCTGATATGCAAAAGAAGCGCTCGCTTTTGTTTCTTGTCTTCAACTTTAGCTGCAATTGTAAAAATCTCGAATTGTTCGAGCCATTCTTTCCACCGTGTTGCGATTGACGATGGCTCGGAATAAGCATCGAATTGTGGCAAGTTCGGCATTAAATTTAATTGAGCCATTATAATCCTCGTCGCCAATTGTAGAGTTTGTCTTTTGCACAAGATAAATATACTTTATTCACGTAACTCGTAATACTTATTTCTACTACAACCAAGCGTGTGTTCTTCTACGTTTTTTGTACGTCCTCTGAGCCCGCGCTCTTGTCCTATATCTAACATCATATACGTTGTGCTATAACATGCAACAACACTACAGACACAAAAATGAAAAAATATTACATGGCACTACTTCAAAACCCATCGAAAATTGGTTGAATAATTTTTTAGTCCACTAGAATCATGCTAAAGTACAGTATTTGAATGGTGCTTGCGACGGACGGCAAAAAACGGCAATAAAATTTTTAGACAATAGGGAAAATTAAACTTTGCCTGGTGAATCTGTAATTTTATGCATAATTAGCAGTTGACCTGGAATAGTAAACATTCATTTTCTTGTGAAGTATGAAACTTAGGCTAATTTCACCCTGCAGTGACAACCCCTAAAAGCAACCATTCTGAATCATATAAACAATTCAGAAAGACTGTAGCTTTGATAATTTAGGATTTAGAGCTATGTGGACTATGCTGTTTCTGGGTGTGGTCATTTTCAGGACTTTCGTCCCGGATTCAGAATTTGGCACATATGTCATGTTGGCCGCCATGGTCACTTTACCCTAAAACACTTGAGATAATCTGTCCTAAATGAAATGCAAAGAAACTCCTTTACAGGTCCTAGACTAAAAGGGGAAGGAAATTTTGTCAAAAAGAAGGAAATTTTGAGTGTTAGGGAAGGAAATATTTTTTTGAAAGATTGCAAATACTGGTGTTTACTGTTTATTCTTAAATGTAAATGTCTACTGCCAGCCATTTAATATTTTTAATAGATACAGTATAATTCGAAAGGAGAAATTGTTACATTATGTCCTGCTTCTAGTTTCAACTAAGACTTGTCCTCATACAATTTAGCTAACCCTGAAACAATACAAGGCTATGTTAATCTTTTGAGTGATGTTAATACATCTGCAAATGGCAAGACAAAATATTTTGAACTTCAAATGCAAACATCTGCAACACAAACGGGGAGGTTAGTTTGTTTTTCTCCAGAAAAATGTGCCAATTTGATGCAATCCCAAGAAAAGCGATGTCCTGTTCAAATTTCACCAGCTAAAAATAACTCCAAACGACTTGGAAACTTTACTAACGAATACACAACCTTTGTAGCACAGTCTTAAGCCATTTGCTAATTGTGTCTGCGGAAACTGGATAATGTGGTTTCTGATGACTGAATAACAGCTGTGTGTGTGTCTGCCTCAAAGTCATTGTCCGTTTTATATACTCCTTAAGCACTGTAACAATACAAAGTTGTTAGTCATCTTTGTAAGCTAGGAATTCTAAGTGTCCAAAATGTCTGCCAGACTTTGATGTTTTCAACAATTCCAATATCATGATAATGCATTTGTCCTTGAGTACAATCTTTGACCAGAAAGTGACGCGAGCAACATTGTAGTTTTCAACGTCAAGTCCTTTAGGCTCATGCTGTCGGCTGGTTCTACAGAGTTCAGATACTTCAGAACAATGGCATCATCCCAGACTTATGTGTATTGAGGAAAGGAAGGCCAAGAAATAAAGACACCTTTGAGATATCTGCCAACTAAAATAGGATTTGTACTCCTTGGTTGTTCCTTTGTGCCATGATTGATATATGATTTCTGCCGCTCCCTCTGAAAGTCCTTGCTTTTTAAGCAATCCCCAGATAATTGGATCATACACAATACAGTTCATATTCGCATTTAGATACCTTGCGAAACCTATAATTATAAATGTTCGATCGCGAAATCCAGAAGCACATCGTACTTTAAAAAGTATAGAAGCTCAATTGTTCAAAAATGTAAATAAACCGCATGATACATTCGCTTTGTCTTACACTTTGCCTTTGGAATTCGCGCTTATATATTTATATTAAATCTTCAATTCTGTGCAAACTACGACGTGTCAACGCGCCCATACACGACCACATCATCTTGTTAAACGGCGAAATAGCAGTGATATTATTAAAATAGGACCAGAATCAACATGTATTAATATATTCTTACCCCAATTCAATCTAAACTTAATCGAACAGCATGAAAACAAGGGTTTATTGGTTCCTCTTGGAGGAATTGCCGTATCATGCGAGCGAAATTGAATCGCGCATCGGAAGATTAGCCAAAGCGGTACACCACAACACTTAGGAGATAAGACTGGGACGTAGATAAATACAATTACATACACATTTCAAGTACTACAATGTTTCGCGCCATTTCAGACTTGCGACGACGAAAAAAAAAAAAAAAACAAAAAAAAACAACAAAACAAAACCGAGGCGAATTTTCAACTCCGTCGCTGACGCCGGAGTAACAAGGCCACCAGAACTGTGTGGGCCAATGAGGGATCACAATAATTCCTGTTGCTACCTCCTCCCTAATTTTTTGTAGTACTCTTTGTACTATGCAAAAAGGTGAAAAGGCATAAACTAATTTCTTCCAAAAGAAAGCATTCACAGAGACTGCATGTGGATCTGGCTTAAATGATATATACACAGGGCACTTTGTGCTTAATCTGGAGACAAAAAGATCATTTTTTGGTTTTATGGCAAATTTTACAATTGCCTCACTGAATATTTCTGGATTTAGAGCCCATTTATTAAGATCTGAATGAGATTTCCGAGACTCAAATCTGCAACAGTGTTATTTCTCCCAGGAATGTGGGCAATTATAATCCAGATATGATGGAGTATACAAAATTCCCAGATTTGTTTGACTAGGTTATAGATGTATACAGCATGGCAAGTGCCCATTTGGTGCATACAACACATCGCTGTTGTATTATCTGTTAGAATCTTGATATGCTTCCCACATATTCTCGCAAAAAAAACTCATCAAAGCCAGTAAAGATAGCTTTAGTTTCTAACCAGTTAATATGCTTGGCAGATTCCTCAGGGTTTTACTCTCCCCCTGTTGCTATGTTGTTCAAGGAGCAACCCCAACCAGTCTTGGATGCATCAGTGATTAAAGTTATCAGGGACCCCATGTGTAATAACATTATAAGCATTGTCAATGGAATCCAACCACCATGCTATATCACCTCTGGCTTCCATTAAGTGGTCAAAATTTTTAGCTTGTTTTACCCTTTAGCCTGTTTTAGTGCCTGTGTTTTATGCATATCAACCCCTCGGTAATGTAAATGACCAAACATGGAGCCAGGAAAGCTAGCTGGCATATGCTCCAGGATCTTAGCAATCTGGCATATAGAAGTTGACTTAGAGGCAAGCAAGTTTTGACACATCTTAAACTTGCTCTTTTTTCTGGAGTAAGTGTTATGGTCATATGTCCACTGAATTTATTTCAAACCCCAAAAATACCACATTTTGGCAAGGGTGTAAAGCAGATTTATTTGGATGAGGTGCCAAACCCACCATATCTAATGTTGCAACAGTGTCAATGATGTTAGAAACACCCTGTTCATAGTTATCCCCTTGTAAGAATGTGTCATCAATAAAACCCACAGACAGAAGTTCATGGTCACAAAGGGTTGCAAAAATTGGTTTTATTAGTTTGGTAAACTTCCTAGGGCAGAAAGCCAAACTATTAGGGAAGCATGTGTATTTATAAAGCTTCCCTTTCCTACAAAATTTTAAATATTTTCTATGATCTTGGTGCAGCTGCACTGAATAAAAAGCATCCTTTAGGTCAATAGAGGACATATAACAGCCTGGGTGCATCATGTGAACAGCTGACCAGATAGTGTCCATGTTAAAATGGTGGTATGCCTTGCAGGAAGGTGATGTGATATTTGACCAGCATGGAAATTAGTTACCCTAAATTAAAAATATTTAACGAGCATTGGTACCACTGATGCATATATATTTACCTGCACTTTTTTCAGTTGCTCTATTACGGAGGTGTTTACTTTGTAGGCGGAGTTTGTTCATTTCGTCTTTTTTCATGGGTACGACTGTGCCCATTGCCCTAAGAAAGCCCTTGTTTCGATCCATGGTCATGGCCATACTTGATAATTTAGATTTTGTATGGTTTGACCCTAAACTTTTTTCTGAAACAATTCACAACAAAGGTGCCCCACTTCAGCACTGTTGGGGATTTATTGATGGGACAGTGACACCTATTGCACGCCCAATTCACAGTCAAAGGATCATGTATAGTGGTCACAAGCGAACACATTGCATAAAATTTCAGGTGTGTGCCTGTACATGTGATATAGATAAGTACCTGTTGCTCATAACCCATTGATAGGTAATTACTGTAAGAGCACTAACCACAAAATTTGACAATCTCCTTAGCGAACCCATTAACTTGCATTGCACCCTACTTATTTTTTTTACAAACGCCAGATGATTTTACTTGTCAACGAGGAAGCTCTGACACTTAATGTGTTTTGGTCTGTCTGTCTTTTGGTGAAGGGAGCAATTGTTGAAGCGTACGTAAGGGTTTCGTGGTGACTTGTATGCCAAATGGCTTGAGA